TGTCAGAGTCTCCCAACCTCGTTAGTGGCCCTTGAAATAATGTGACTCAACAAAGAAAAGGCTTAATAATTATTATTATTTTATAGGCTTTTAAAGACTATTTTTGCATTATCTTTGGTGCAGTTTGCAGGGCAGTCCCTCATTCCCAGCAACAATATACAGATTTTTAACTAAAGTATCTTTTACGTCTGTCATCACCACCTTCATGCATTCAGCAGTACATGAAATCTGTGAGTGTATTTTTTTACAGTGATATACGGACCGTAGTACGGGTCAGTACTGTGTATCTTTAGTGACGATTTCACAGTCTGTTTCATCTCGGAACCATTCTAAATATATCTGACATCTCCCTCCTCACTCGTTTCAGGTTAAAACTCATGATCTTTGAGAAGTCACGTTTTCTTTCCAGTGATTCAGCCCCAAATGCCTATCAGATTACAGCCTATCACTCCGACATGGACAGACGTACACACCCTTATTTTGAATAAAAACAGATTTGGTCCTGTTCAAATCTTTGTTCCAGTTAGAAAACCTGCATTCAGTCCAAATTGCAGCCCCTCTCAAATGTTTTCCTGATTGCCTCTTTTCAGAGGCGAGTCACAGTCAGTAAAGAGGAGATCTCCATCACAGCCAAATTGGGCTCTGCTTTGTTGTCCATCTGGCCCATAAATCCAAGCAGGCCCAGATGTTTACAGGAAAAAAAAAAAACGGCCTTGTCTTAGTGATCTTGAATTGCCAGGAACTGGATGCAGAAGTGTTTCTGATGGATGTAAGATCACGAAGGGCTGTCTAACAACAAACGTATGGCAGTGAAATGTTAATTTACTCCCTGAAATCCCCGTGGAGCCCCTGAATAGGTGCTGCTTCAAACTGTAACAAATAATTCACTTGCTTTTAGCCTTTTGTTCCCTTTGTGTGTTTTTCCTTTTATTGATGTGGATCATGCAGCCAAAGCGAAATCAGACCCACATCAAATGAAAAGAAAAACAAAACTCTCCTTAGACTGACTTCTGGTTTACATTTCAGACCTTTATGAAAACATGAATATGAGTTTCTATAAACATCTTTCTTTTGGTCCTTGATGGGGAAAAAAAAATATGAAAATCTGAAATAATGCATCATGATAATGTGCTTTCACAGATAGACATGTTTGTCCACACCCTCGTTTGGCACAAGACAGAAACATAAGAAATGGATGGTGTCCCCCTGGGGAGTTCAGAACATTTCCTTGGAACTACGTAGTGTTTTGGAAAAATATTGACCAGATCATTTAACATCTTCACATCTGGTGTCACCACCCAGTTATGGTCTCTCTTGACCATCTGTCTAGTTTCTGCTGGCATTGTTATCACCTTTGAGAAATAAGATTTTTCTTGCTGAAAGTTAGATGCGATGATTCACTCTTGTGTCCGTACGGTAAATATGAAGCTATCGTGCTTTAAGTGTAAAAATTATGTACCGATTTCATCAATTAATCTTTTGCTCTGTAAGATGTCAGCAAATGGTAAAAATACATTTTTCAAGTCCCCAAAGTCCAAGCCGATGTCTTCAAATGTCTTCATTAGTGCAATCAAAAGAAAAAAGCCAAATATATTTTGTTTACTCTCATAGAGGACTAAGAAAACCATAAAATATTTATATTTGTGAAGCTGGAACAGAAAGCTTTTTATTACTTATAGGTGCTGGTATATCTATAGGTGGATGTTGTTCCCTTTGCACACAGCCAGGCAAGCCCTGTTTCCAGTCTTCATGCTATACTAAGCTAAGCAGCTGTTGGCTCTAGCTTCATATTTACTATAAAGTTATGGGAGATAACTCAAACACTTCCTTTAAGGATGGGCTACACCGCACTGCCAGAACAACTGTGCTTTTGAAAAATTGTCCCTTTAGCCAATATCTTGTTGTCTTATTGGCAGAAAAAGAGAAGAAAAAACAGAAAACCGCCCATGTGGTTAAAGACGGTGACCTCCAAGTTTGACACCTCATCTCACTTTTCATAACATCCAGACATCTGTTCATTGATATGCTGTGAGATTTTATATGAAAATGGGAGTCTTTGTGTTGATATCCTTCAGGATGATGGGAATAGAGCATTGGGGAGCCACAATTGTATAAAAGAAAACAGAGAGAGAACTCTCTTCAAACAAAAGCAAAATCCTGAAGAGACCCCAAAAGTGAAAAACTTGCCAAAAATGCTATCTATCTCTGGTTCAGACACACATTATTCTTTATACGCTTGATTCATTTAAATCTACAGCTCTTTTTCGTGTCATCTTAGTTCTACAGTAAACTGAATCTACTCACCAGTACAAGTTCATCGCCTTTGAGTTCACGGCTCCAGAAGGTTTTCGGGCCGTTCCCACTCAGTAGAGTCTGTTTGCAGTAAATCTTGTTTTCTGTTTCCCAAGTGGCCAAGCTCTGTAGAAAAGCAGCACTTTAATGAGGTTTCCTGTATTTATTCCCTCAGTTTCACCTGGTTAACAGGATGGCCGCAGTAAAGCAAAGTGATGGATGAGAGATCGGTGGGGAGTGTGTGTTTATCTCGTGTCTCTAGCCCACCTTTCTTTGATTGCATTTTTACCTAGTACCTTGCAGCCCAACACCTAAATTCAGCAAAATATGAGACCTTTAAAGGTCCAGTGTGTAGGATTTAGTGGCGTCTAGCAGTGTAGTTGCAGGTGGTCGCGAAATGTGCGAAAAACACGAACACCCCTATTACTACTACTGTAGAAACATGGCTGCCTCCATTTAAGGTGACTTCCATTCCACTTCTGCCAATAGAGCCTCCTAAATGTTACACAATGGACCTTTTAAAGGGGCACTCCACCAATTTTACACGTTAAGTTTACTTGTCGCAAACAGTACTACACCGCCTGTGTTGTATAATGTGATCTGTGGCTCTGGAGAAACTTTCCAAATTCTGAGAAAATAACCCTGATGATGTCACCAGGGAAAGAAAGACAGACACTGTTGGGTTGCATTGTGGGAAATGTAGGATCTAGTGTCTTTGGAGTGTGGCCCCCTAACTTAATGAAACTTGTTTAACTTGCAGAGAGTTGGATGTTGTTTTTTTTTATTTTTGTTAAGCTTACAATATCCCTGCATGATAACATTTGGACAGTTGTTCAGAAGTCTTCCGGAGTGATGTGTTCAGGTGCTATTGAGAATCCATAAGACATTATTTTAATACAAGAAGCTAAAAAAGTAAATGCATCCCTCTATAGTGTTAATTTTTACTTACTCATACAGGTCAGATGAATTGATTAAAAGTAAAACTTCAGATTTTTCTCGGGCACATCTTGTGCTGTTCTCACTGTTGATTTAATTACCTTACACTTTCTCCCGTCAACCGTCTCCTCATTAAACTCCTCTCCAATGACGAAGTTGATCTCCGTGGTGCGGACGGTGGTAGAAGTCTTGATGTAGAAGTGCTCGCCATTCTGCTTTATCTCCACGTGGGGCTTGGACGCAGCGGCCACTGCTACCTTCCTCAGCATGGGATTCACACCTGAGAACATGGATAAAGCTTCCTGTGAGCCTGTAAATACTAAGTGTGTCTGAAGAGTCTGCAAGGCAGGAAATGGATAAAATTCACTATGACAATGGTGAACAAAACAGCTTTTGTTCCCACCTATTGCCACTAAGTATGACCTTCTTTCTCCATATTTTATCATCTGACATTGAGTTGTGCCACCTCACATTTTCTCTGTCTGGCTCTGGCGCCAAATAGGTGGTAAGAAAAAAATCTGAGTTCCTGTTTCAGAGATGAAACTTGACTTATTTAACAGAGGAATGCATAAAGGAAGGGAAATCTATCTCAGACAGAGTCATGCCAATGAAAATAAATGACTCTTTAGTCATCATATTACAGTGTAAAGCAGTTGGCTTTCATATTAAGAAAGGATCTTCCACCAGCTGCAACTGAGATTGTTATCAGCAGATGTTGCAAATATGGAAGGTGACTGACAAGGTGATGAGAGGGAGGAATGCTGGTGCCGTTTGCCCTGTTTAACTCAGCTTTACATCGTGATAGAGTCTGTCCTCCAAATGAGTGGAAAAACTATTAGCCCTCTCTGTCACACAGTTACAGTGCAAACAATTAGATAAGAGACTGCTTCAGTCTGTTTCCACCCTCCTTGTAGTCCATCACTCAAACGCAGCAACCGTGCATGAGTTGTCGTCTTGTAATTAAAACCAGTTGTACAAAAACCTGTGCTCTTGTGGAGATAAAATAAGACACATAAATTGGTAAAAAAGATCACATTTAACTAGCTTCTTTTGTGTGTGTGAATTAAATCAGATGTTAGTCTGTTGCCACCATCTAAGATGCTTACAATCTTCTAGTCTTCAATCTGTACCTCAAGTCTGATTTTGTGGGTGTTTTTTTTTTCATCTGAAAATGAAAAAATTCATCACTTAACACCAGTCAACTCTGCATACATTACAGAACAAGCCTTGAGCACCGTCTTTTGTCTGTATTCCAGGTATAGGTGTCTACTGTGCAGATAATAGACCTCTGTTCATTTCATGGTCAGTCACTGGATCATTTTGAAAACCCCTCTCAATAAAACACATTCAAACCTTCATAGAAAAAGAGTATAATGTCCTCACCCAGGGCTTTGAGCAACTCTTCGAAATTCTCGCTGTTTTTCATTTTCCAGGTGCCTTCGAAATTGGGCATTTTTCTTGTGGGGTTTTGATTGTGTGTCAGCTTCGCCTCCTGTCGTCTGTCTCCTCCACTCCCTTTCTCCAGGCTCTTTCTCTCCCTCTGTCTGTCCTTGTGCTCCCTCCTTCTCTCCTCCCTGTGTGCAGTGATCCCACACAGCAGACCAAACCCCCTCTACCTCCGCCTCCTCTCCCGCACATTAATTACACACGCACACACTCACCTCCACACACACATTCTTAATGGTTTATTCTCATCGAGATTCCTTTTAATGACCGTACTAAATTATGTCTCCTTTCATCCGTAATCTCGGTCATCTGATCTGATCTGACGTTTAGTGGAACTTAATGGTACATTAATGCAAATATTTAGTCTTAAAGCCCTTTTAAAGACTTTTCTTCCACAGATTTCTCATTGGCACCCACAGCTTGAATAGAGGATCATCTTATTTTCCTTTCTCATGGAAGGTTTAGGACCTTGTTTTTTCAGGGTCAGTTCATCCAAATTCCAAAAAAGCAATTACTCAATTGTATGTAGTAGTAATATAGTTTTATTTGTCCAGGTTTTGAGATCCATTTCTGAAATTTCTGCTTCCACCCCAATACAGTGGAGGTAAATGGGATTTTGCCTGTAGTGAAATGTAGCGAAAATCAACAGCAACTTCTCCTAAATCTAAATTATCTCCCTGGCTAGATACAACAAAAGCTTTTTTGTTTGTTTTTATTTATTTTTATAATCTCAGTGAATAGACCCTTAATGTAAGGCATTAAACAATTCTAAAAGATCATCTGTGGTCACCACTTACACGTTTTGGTAAGAAGACTGATAGTGAAAGGATAGGTTAAAATGTTTCGAAGTCTATCTTTAAACAATACTCAAGAGATCAACGTGTAGTCTGTCATGTTTCTTGGCCGAGTCACAGGAAGAATTTATGACTATAAAAATAATCTGACAGTGAACATCTTCCAAAGTTAGCCTTTGTTGTGTTTACCAAGACACAGTTTCCTTGCTGAGGTACAGTGGAGGGATAGTAACCCAAAGAGGGA